TATATATACATGAAACGGACGGGCAGCAACACCGTCCGTCCGGTCTAGCGTACCGTTGCGGTTAATAATTGAGAACGCCCCATTTCATGGCGACCGAATTAATAGGCTGTCCGTATTTTCCGTCTTCTCGGGCTTTGAACTTTTACAGGGCTCACCGCTTTTTCGTTGAACGCCATTTTGCCACTTTGTGTGCTGCTATTCGAAAATTAATGAGATGAAATTCCTAGTGAAAAGTACATCGGTTAACCCAATTACAATGAAAGGGCATGTTAGAATGATGAATAACGTTTTATGGGGGCCGCCATCATTAATTTTTTCATAGACGAATTGAGTCGAAGATAAAGGCCACACGTAGGTTAGTCGAACAATGAAGTTGGGTATACTCACGAGCAACATGTGTCATTATTTCTTTTATTCTAGTCAGGGGTGTAGCCACCAAGGGGCACATGCTCCCCCCCCCCCATCGAATGGGGATTATAGAAAAAGATAATGGTAAATGTTGTTCAAAAGTAATGGAAAGATGGATAAGAGTATTTACATTTAAATGGATTCGTTTTGCAATTTCTTGTAAAGATATCGTGTTATCTATTATTTTGAAGTAATTTGGACTGCGATGCGAATTCTTAATACTTGTTATCATTATCATCACCAACATCACTTCTCCCTTGTTAAACATAAATTGAGAGTTTTAGTGTTTTTCCCATTCTTAGACGAATTCGAAGAATTTGGCGACTTTTACGACCATTTGAAAATATTGAAAGATAGCTTTAAAGAATGTGTATTATATTGTGTCGATTGACAGAAAAACACCTGTTTTTTAAGGTGACACTAAAGATCCTCGAAAAACGCATATACTAACTTAAGACAGTTTTTAACCCCGGCTAAGTGCGCATATTTAGTCTGCGGATATGTAGTGCAACGCGTTAAGCTCTCCATTCTAACCATAATTATCACAATGATTCTTCATCGAAATGAAGGTACAAAAACTTGTCTCTATTGGAGTCAATTCTCATTTGCATTTCATGATCAAATTGATTAGTTTATGTTCTTTGTTAGTAATTACAGTAATTTGTAAGAGACTTGTCAGTGGTTACACTCAGCCTTCCATAAATCAGTTGGCTAAGTTAAGCCAGGTTTAACGTTGATGGGCCGCCTTCGAGAATACGTTCCTCTAACAACATAGAAAGGGTTAAGGTTTTAGTAGTAGACGACATTTGGTAGAGATGTCGTTTATCATTCTAAAGATAACATCCGGGTCTGTATGACAAACACACACGTCATTCGCTGATACCCCGACAAAATTTCATTAGCTAATTGCATGGTGGCATTTCACTTCTCTCCACTGCCATTACCTATACCCTTATCATCTCTCTACCCCTCCCTCTCTATCTCCCCCCCCCCCCTCTCTCTCTCTCTCTCTCTCTCTCTCTCTCTCTCTCTATCTCTATCTCTCTCTCTCTCTCTCTCTCTCTCTCTCTCTCTATATCGGACTCTATGTCTAGATATGCATGTTTCTCCCTAGCTTCTCTCATGTCTCTCTAATTCCTCACACTCGTTCTCTCTAACCTTTTGCTGCATTGCCCTAGTTGTTGTTGTCTGCCTGCTTGTGTTTCCACATGTCTCCTTCTATCCCCCAACCCCCTTTCACTTCTTCTCACTATGTGTCCTTACATCTGTTTGTTTATATCATTTCTTCTCTTCTCATTTATCCCTCTAACCCCCCCCCCCCCTTCCCCCTTTTCCCGCTCTCTCTCTCTCTCTCTCTCTCTGCCTCTCTATCTCTCTCCAACTGCTGTGTATTCTTTTGACCACTACAAGCCAACAGACAGGACTTATCCTATCCAACTACAAAAAATTCTTTCAAAGTTTCCGAAAGTTATTAATCCAAGTTGGTTGTATTTTACATTTAAGATTATAAGCAGGATAACTGTCACTTCATACTGCGTGGCCACACCAAAAAGCGAATGGCGCCATCTGTTGATATATCGAATTTTCCCTGGACCCCCAGGAAAACAGTGTCTATATTTTTATGACACTGAACGGGCAATCCAGCCAATCATTTTAAGCAATCTATATACACATGTAATTTTTTTTTTTTATTCTGTTATGTTTCATTTCGTTTTATGTCATATGTTATTTGTCTTTTTAATATGATCGGAAAATAAATACAATACAAATGTCTCTCTTCCAAACGTTTGATTCTTGTTTCCTGCTAATTCATAATCAAATTCATATTGTAATTCTTAAAAAAAAAAAAAAAAAATTAAATATGCGAGATTAGAAACATGAGAGGATGATGACGAGGAACGGAAGGAATTGGGGTATCAGCAGAAAGATGGGGAGGAAAAGGAGCTAGAGAGAGAAGTCAAGATGAGAATGAGGAGGAGGAGGAGGAGGGATAAACATAGACAAGACAACATAATATCAGAATGTTGATAGCTTTAAAAACAGTGGGAATATCGACAGATAGGAGTCGATTAAATGCCTTCCAAAGACCACAAATGAATTAGCTAATAACATTTCGTAATCTGTATAATGTAACGTGATGCTTTAATAATGTGGGCCTATAAAGGGGGCCTACGTAAGTTTATTGGTCCTTGCAAACTTTTAATTCTGAGAAGTAACATTTGAAAATACAGGTAATCTAAATAAACGGCCATTTTACACTTCCAGGCGGTACGATAAAAGGCGACTTTATACAAACATGGTAAAGCGGCTAATGTGACCATTACAAACTCAAATGTCAACAGAATGCGTACATTATTTTACAATTAATTCGTTCTAATTAACGATGCTCTATATACGCGTAACATACATTCTGATGTTTGTAGATTGAGGCAGGACTGTTAAGTCGTAAGTACATAACCATGGTAACAAAAAATAACCCCAACTTATATCCATTGAGTTGCAAAGAATTGAAAATGCAACTAGGCCCCTACACTGAAAATCACCTTGTTGAAATACCATATAATTAAAGGAAACACCTATCGTTATATAGCACAAAAATGTAAAACTTTACCACATTAAAGTCCTATAAACACGACCGTACAAGTTATCAATATTTAACGCATATAAAGGGGCTTAATTCGACCATCGTCATGTTAATTGAATGCTTGTCTTAATTGCTAAAGATCATTTAAAATTCCCGAGAAAAAGAAGGTTACTTTACGATGTTTTGCATTCTTTGTTTAAAATGCGTGTCATGTTTGCACGTTCGGAATACTCAGTAAACTCGACCAAAGTAAAATCAATTAAAGGTCTTTCTGAATTGCAAAAATGCAAAATGTCCATTGTTGAACTTAACAAGATTAAAATGGTCCCTTCAAGATCTTACAAGTGCTTTTTATTAAGTGTGTGTCAAGTCTAATCATCTTGAAGTGCTATTACAAATAACCTTCACTTCAGCCGTCCTGTCGACAAACACGCATAGAATTAATAAAAACGACCACGCCGAATGCAAATCGATAATTCATATAACTAAAACAAGAAGGATGTTAACACTTTGAACCAGTACATGGGTGGATGCCCTTTTGGCTCCAAACAGACGAATTATAGTAAGACCAGGGCTGGGGAGACACGTGGTCATTCATTGACTATTTTAATTAAACTTACTCATCGACATGCAAATAAATCTATTACCATAATCCCCTTTACTTCCGCCATTAGTCATTTTCTGACGAGGATGACTTTCACTTTTTATTACCCACAAAGACATCTATTTTGCAGGTTAAAGTATCTTTGTGTTACCCTCTTTCATTTACAGTGGCCATGGCATGGTTTGTAAGCTTTTAGGACGATAGAGCTAATCTTATATTGTTACAAATCAGACAAATTAAATTGTGTTATAGGTAAATAAATGTATCACGCAATATTTAAGACAAGCAATTCATGTCATTTTGATGCGTGAGAGAGTATATATTACTCATTTATTATATTTTTCTTCAAATTTCATTTTGCAATGAAAAACAACTATGGATATACAATTTACTTTTTCAATGTTTTGAGGGAAAATGTTTAACTCGACTATCTGTTATTTTGGGGTTGTTTTCGTGCTATCAGTGAAATATGTTTAGTATTTGTGATCCGATGCTCAATTTACAGGCCATAAATCTTACACCGCAATAATTTCAGTAAGCAATTTCATCTCTCTATTTGTATATATACTTACTGGGTAAGGTACTCAGCCATTTACATGCTTTTCTGTTAGGGGATGGTCTCATATATTGCTGTCTTCTCCCTGTATACAGCTTTAGAATGTAACTGAAGCGAATTAGGAAAACATGTACTAACTTGTGCAAACAAAAATGACTTATGTATGAACATTTATTGTATTTAATTTACGTTAATGGGTTTACTTTCTTCTCCCGATCTGCAGAAGAAGAGACCGCTAAGTACAAATATCGTTGCACTTTTCTTTCTCGACAAGTCTTTAAAAACACGCTAATTAGTGTCATGCTGTAGTAGGAAAACGAAACATGCCAGAATAAACTCGTTAATTAGTGTGGATTGTATCACGTACTTATTTTTCTATAGCAGATTCCAACTCTCTCTCTCTCTCTCTCGTCTCTCTCTCTCTCTCTCTCTCTCTCTCTCTCTCTCTGTCTCTCTCTGTCTCTCTTTCTTCCCTCTTTCTTCTCTCTCTAAAGAGCATCATCCTCTCATCCTCACCTTGCCCACCATCTCATTCTTTTCTCATCGTCCATCGCTACCGATCTGTCACTCTCCTCACGTCACCCTCCTTTCCTCTCTCCAACAACTGGAGTCACGCGGAATTAGCTTCACTGTCTTCTCATCCAATGTTCCCCCATCATCATCATCATCCTCCACCTCGTTCAATCATTACGTCACCATAGAAACCACTTTGACGTCATTCAACCGGTATCATTCAATTTGTTCGACCAATCAACGTTGTTGATGGTAGCGCTAGCAGTGCCAGTAGGGTGTTAAATTGATTTATTTCACTTTTCTGGTAACATAGAAGTTGGAGCATGTTTCTTTTTATATTCATACGAAGGATAAGCTATTACCTTTACTGTTCGCGGTCTTATTGTGACTATATGTTGGAACGAACTAATTTAAACGGCCTTTTGGGGTTTGCATCCTGAAAGAATATTGCTCTGATTTGGAACTTTATGTGGAACGAAGTTTTCTGGAGTTAGCAGACTCAGGTAACATAGTAGAAAGATGTTGAGGTAGGAACGGACAATATAACCAGGGACCAAAACTCTATCAACTGCTCTCTTACCACACGAAGGTCGAAAATGATATACACCATCATTAGTCCTTGGACACGTCTTGATACGGTGAGAGAGATCATCGGGATAGTGATAGTAGTGGTGGTGGAGTGGCGTTGGTGCCGTGGTAATGGTTATGATGGTGGCGGTATAATATGGTGGAGGTGGTGGTGGTTGTAATGGTTGTAATGGTTATGATGGCGGTTTATGGTGATTTTGATGGTGGTGGTGATGGTGGTGATGGTGGCGGTTTATGGTGGTGGTGATGGTGATGATGGTGATGGTGGCGATTTATGGTGGTGGTGGTGATGGTGGTGGTGATGGTGGTGATGGTGGTGATGGTAATGCCATGCATGGAGATGGTGGTCGTGCAGTGTTGTTGGTAGTGGTTGTGGTGGTGATGAAGATATTGTTGAAGATGGCGATACTAATGTTTAATGATGATGATTCTGGTAGAGACAATGCACTACGGTTTAGACGAATTGTACAAGATGCACTTGTAGAAATGACGCACATTTTTTTTAAAAGGTACTGATGGTGGTGGTGGTGTTGGTGGTAGTGGTGGTGGTGGTGATGTGGTGGTGGTAATGGAGGTAGTGTGGTGGTGGTGGTGGTGGTGGTGGTGGTGATGGTGATGATAATGGAGATAGTGGTGTTGGGGAACGCTTATTATATTGGTGGCCATGTTCATACAGAAGGTTGTGTTCCTGTAATTTCGTGATAAAATTCATATTACACTGATGCCCACTAAAGAATATTCCATCTTTGTCGACAACAGTGTCTTTATTGCAAACAGTACATTCTTTATGAAAAGGTTATTAATCGAAAAACGGTGATGAAAGAATAGACGGCGGTGGTGACTTCTAGACATGTCATATTTATTTTTATTAAGCAAATAATCACCGTTGGTGAAGGTGATGGGACAAACTATCACTTCCGAGGCGATATGGATGTAGCTATCTTTCCGAAGCGAAGGTGAGGAAAGATAGCGTATACATTCTGATCGACGAGGAAGTGATAGTTTGCCATCGCCTGAAACCAAAAGGTGATTATTTGCTTTATATTCCACATCTAAAACAATTTAACTACAAACAGAAAAAGACGTGTATGCATCTACATAAAAGACACTATAGGCCTAAATTCACAACAAAAAAGTTTAAGTTTAACCCAGCCCCTTGAGGGTACGGTGCGCGCATGTGTTTTCTTTCATTGCGCTCATTGGTAATGCGCGCTTAATTTCGCCTGTTTTAGTGCGCTTTTCAGTGAAAGTGCGTTGCCCTTTGTAGATAGTACCTCTATATTCAGTGAAAGTGCTTGCACTGTGTAGATAGTAGTACTATCTACACAGTGTAACGAACTTTTTGCTTCTCCCATCAATAATGGGCGAACTATCTTTCATCACGTGATTTACTTTTGACCAATCGTAGAGCAAGATTCTTAGTATGTGGAATATAAAATATCATATTGTATATACCTTTGTGATGCATTACACGAGCCGATATGATATTGGTAACAGTATAAGTCAATACAATAGAAGATGGATAATGAAATGCTAGGTCTTGCTGCGAAAGGTCATTACGATGATTAAAGTATGCAGAAAATGAATAGCCCAACTATTGATAAAGATTCAGTCGGATTCACACAGATGCGCTATGTCGTTTTCATAATTACTAATCCCAGGCCACTGTATTCATGGTACAGCGCATCGTTCCACAATTATTATAATCATAATTTGAAATATACATCATATATAATGTACATTTTAAAGTGTTTTCTCCAACACTTTTCATTAGGTCTCGAAATTGTGGTCACGATTGTAACACCCAAGAGAGTTGGAATTTCATTTTGTCGTATGAGTGCATTATTGGTATATATATATATATATATATATATATAACATATTTTTATATGAATAGTCTGTACAGAAACTTATAGATTAACCGGAATCCTAATGGTTATGAATTCACTTCTGGCAGAGGAATTAGACCACGTGTAATTGAATAGATTGACTCAAGGATAACACTACAGCCTGTCTCAAAAATATAAGCAACTATCAAATTTCAGCTCCATCGGCATGTGGTGTGGGCTGATAAAAATAAAAGAAAGAAACCATATCCGAAAGCTACGAATTGTTGAAGAAGAATTACCTATTATTATTTCCTTGTCTTTCCAAACAGAACATTTAAAACTTGTAGTATAATTTAAGTTTCTTTTACAGACTTTTATAGGAAGATATACTCCTCTCTACCACCGACTTTTTTTTTGGGGGGGGAGGAGGGGGTGGCTTTAAAAACCGATTCAAGCATTATCTTGTCATTTTGTTTCATCGGGTTCCGAATCTTTCTCCCCCTCTCTCTCTCTCACTCGTACACACACACACACACGCACGCACACACACACACGCATTCACTTAATATTTTCCCCATTGTCTTATTTGATATGTTAAGATCAGGATTCTTGACTTAGATTATTATAGTGAATGAGTTTGTTTGTCCTCTCACATCATTTTTTTTTCATCAGACATTATATGTAATTACCCATACTGTCTAGAGAAGAAATTAAACGGCTGATAATAATATAGGGTATGTGTCTATCTTTCTCTGTCTCTCTCTCTCTCTCTCTCTCTCTCTTTTTTTTTCTCTTACCCGTCCATCTATTATTCCTCCTTCCTCTTACCCTCTTTGTCTCTCTTCATTTCTCTCTATCTTTCTAAGTTTACGCCTTTACATATTATAACGCAATTCCTCAGCAATATTAAACAACTAATAAATGCAATAAACACTTTTCCTTCAACCACATTACATAGGTAAAGTACTAAAAAAGAAGTATGAATATGAAGCCAAAGTTTTACTCAATCTGCCTTTTTATTCTACCTGACATTCCACCCCTCCCCAACCTTAGCTCCAATGCTCATGTTTCATATCAATCAAACAATTTTTTTTCTCTCGTAAAAGCTCGTTATGAAAAATTGTTAAGAAGCGGAAATTTAATTAGGGCACTTCATTTTTTTTCTTGGACAGACTATACATACAGGTAGAACCGAGTAGATACAAGTAATGCATTACCTGTCTCTTGTACTGCGGAGATAAATGACAATTCTTTTGTGTTATTTATAGCTACAAACAAATGACAAAATGCAATTGTATTTATGTAGTACACCAAGAATGTTACGAAACAACTGCAAGGTTGATAAAAGGAATATAAATTCGATTAAATTTTAGTTAGATTCGGATTTTCTTGCAGATATTTTCTATTCAGTCCATTCTTGGTTTTTTCTGTTCATAGCTCAATGTAATGTTTTAGCCAGCCTTTATATAAAATTACCCTTGGAATGCATATGCAAATAGTTTGGACTTATTTGATAGAATTCCCTTTCAGAAGGAAATAGCAGGTAGGAAGTGAAAACGGAAATGCAGTAATCACTTGTAACTCTGTTCAATGTTGAAGTAATAGTCTGTAGTTAACAAGTTCAGGGTTTAGGTATACCAGCGCGTACGCAGGGGGGGGGGTTAAACTTTGGAAATTTTTTGTGTGTAAACCCCCCTAAAAAAAACCTAAAACTTTTGGATTTTTTTTTTTTTTTAATTATTAAAAAAAAATTATTCCCATGGCCGACCTAAAAAGGTAACCTTACCAACGGAGCAAAATGTCAAATTTCCAATTTCGAGACCAAAAAAAAAAAAAGTGTCCTCTTATTATTCAGCGGTCGGCTGAGTCGTTGCGATTTTTGGGACCAAAAAAAAAAAGTGTCCTCTTACCCCCCCCCCCCCCCCCCCCCCTTATTCAGCGGCTGGCTGAGTCGTTGCGAAATTTTCGGACCGATTTATAAATGTTAAAACCCCCCCCTTGAAAAAATCCTGCGTACGCGCCTGATACCACGTGATATCAATCTGAAAAGAAGAGAATAAAACATGCTTTATTCTGGAATTTCTTTGATGTCTCCACACCTTTATTGGTTGAATGAAAACTGCATTGTCAAAACTATAATGTTTAATCATGATAGTGTAATTCTGAAAAAGATCCAATGTAAAATGAATTAATGAGCTAAATTGAGTGTGTGGCTCGTTATCTATTTACCCCTTTTGTTAAAATTAAGGATGGTACTTATATTATGATTTAATGTTAACTTACATATTCGGTCTCATAATGCCGTTATGTACTATCGCTGCGATAAGACTAGACTTAATAAGTAAAATAACTTTTTCAATTTTCGTTATGTTCCAAATGTCTTGATACTTGGTTAACGGTTTACGTTTAGATCAAAATATGATCAAAATGCGGAGAAACAGAGAAAGTAGATTCTCTAGACATGTGGCCTATATATAGAGAGAGGTAGTCTTTAAGATATGTCTTACAGATGTGTATATTGGATGTCCTCTCTGTCTCTGTCTGTCTCCCTCTCTCTCTCTCTCTCTCTCTCTCTCTCTATATATATATACTATAAACTGTCTGAAGAAATAAAAGTGAAATCGGTCAGAGTCAAGAAGAGAACTCTCTCAAGGATTTAAAAAAAAAAATTGTTTTAACCCTTTTGTTTCTGGAACCTGGTATTTCCTGTATTTAACAAATGGGGAATATTATAATTCAGTAGTACATGGGTTAATTATCATTTGTATATCGCCGTGACGGAGTATTACCCACAGTAAATTATTTATTCTCTCTCTCTCTCTCTCTCTCTCTCTCTATATATATATATATATATATACATAATATATATCTATAAATACATGCACATTTACAATACTTGAAGCCATGTATTCGCATCGATAATAACAGAAGGCCTTGTCTAGCGTGCGTAAGTCTGGATCAATTTGTCAATATTCGGCATGCGATCGAGGACACGGTCGCAAGACCAGTAATTAGCAAACCATGGCTTACATTCTTTATCGCGTGCTACCATTCTAATTAAGAGAATCTATTCGGCAAAACCATAAATCATTGTGCACTACATGGCTTTGTGTATGCCCCACTGGAAGCTACAGCTCTTACAATTGGAATGTAGCAAAGTACATGTATAGGAACAGTGGTGACATTTTTATCTTATTTATCTATCACAATAATCGTCCCCACGTTTGTTTATGAATTTTCTTCTTTTGTTCTGAATACGTGTCTGAATAGGACGCATTTACTGATTTCATAATAGTTTGCATTCATATAAACTAATATTGGATGTGAAAATATAAAGATGACGACGGTGATTACATGATATTGTTAAGAAGAGATGTTTCAAAAAGAATTTTAAAAATTCATTTAATCACTAGATATTTGAAATTTTTTCCAACTTGCCTTCTCTATTCTACAGACCCAATGATGCGAACGTCCTATCGCCACAACACTGGCACAAGATAGCGCTACCTACCTAAAAGATATACACAGTCCTACTTCACTGAGCCACGCCCACTTCGGGAGGACAACCACGCCCACATGTTTGCTTCCTTCTTAGGCCCAACGATCCGACACGCCCACTCATCTTGACAAGCACGGCAACCTACAGCACCATTATTGGACGTTCCACGCCCCCAATACCACCGAGCCACGCCCAGGGGTGCAGACTACCAGGCCACACCACCTGCCATTCCCTCTATCTCTCTATCGTTGATCTTCACCCGTTCCTCCGTCATACATGAACCACATGCCTAATCGTCATCACTCCCACTATGTGGCAAACGGTGAGATCGACGATGACATCACAAATCCCATACATCTGGTAGGCAAATAAATTCTTAAATTGAATTTTAACTTTATTTCAGTCTTTTAATTTAATACATACACCAACATTGATATGAGGTACCCACTTTGGCCCGAATTCACAAAGGGGGTTTGTCGACAAACCTTGGTTTTCGTACGTCATATGACGCGTTTTTTACAAACCATATGACGTAAGAAAACCAAGGTATGTCGACAAAATTCCTTTGTGAATTCGGGCCATAGTGTCTCTTTGCTTTAGAAAAGAATTTAGGTTTGTCCTGTAATATTATTTTATTTGGTGAAATCATTGCAAAACGTGGAATGAATGCATAATATGAAACAATTAACAGAAACTAAATCTGAAACTTTATTTTTCACTTAGCGCTTATAGAGACTTCGATGGAAAGCGCTTTTTAAGCACTGTTTTATTATAATAATTTCGAGTGAACAACATAGATACAGAACAATTGAACACATGTACCCTAAGTGTTTTGAAATGTATACATATATTATATATATTTATATATTTATTCGTTTGTGCCACGTCTATTATTTCTGTGTTATATCTTTCTAAATGTACTATGGAATTTTATTAAACTGTTCTGTATATTAACAGGATGTTAATATGTTCATAATTATTGAGGGCTCCATGAAAGACCACTTCTTATTGTTGAATGAGCTACCTTGTTAAAAGATTAGTAATAAATAAATAAATAAATACCCGATACCAGGTACAGGCTTTTGTTCAGAATCGGGTTTAAAAAATCAGGGTACCGTTGCACAAAACTTACCATTGATGGCTACTTTGCCGTCAATGGTGACTACCATGGAAACCTTGATTTTGATTGGCTGTTGAGCCCTGTTACCATGGTAGTTGTCATTGATGGCAAAATTACCATCAATGGTAAGTTTTATGCAACGGGGCCCAGGTTAGTCTGAGGTCTAAGTTTCGCGTTGTTCAACTTGATTTTCACCCAGGGTCAGTTTTATCTGGATTGGTAGATTACAGGGCATGGAGTGTATCTAACAATTAAAGGCCTACCATTGTTATGAAATAGACCTTTAAACAATAAAGGAGGCATCCCTTTAGATGTAAATTTAACTGATCATCGCTCGGCCTCATGTATGCTGCTAAATGGCTCTTATTGTATCGTCACTTATCCGCCAATATGGCCGGATTTTTCAACACACAATGAAGCAATATTTGGGCAATCGGCTTTTTATACTCGGGCAGACCTCTGTCACCTCATACTCGAGGGGAGGAGGTGTTCTATTTTTAATGTTCATGCCTTATTTGGTATATTTTCAAGTATCAAATTTACACCATAACAATAACAGGTGTCAACTAAATAATCAAGACAGACACGACCATGGTTATCACAATTTGGCTATAAAGGCCCCATCGCCAACATAGCCTGTTGAGTTCGGTCGCAATTAAGGGAAGGGATTATACGAATGTTCCTCCAACAAACGTTGTATCGCTTTTTCCCCCTGCATTACTTTACGTAACTTTCTAGCAGCGAACTTCACGCAAAGTGTCAGCTAAGCCCGCCCCCCCCCCCCCACTCCGAGAATGGACGGCCCCCATGCGTGTTAACAAAATGTCCAGTAAAGGTGTGACGAAGTCCGGCCCGAGAATTGTAAAAAAAAAGGGGTGTATTTACTTTTCACCCGGAGTTTTCTTTAAAAAGGGGGTGTTTTCTCTTTTTCTCTCTCATTTCTTTGGACTCGTGAGGAATTATTTAGAATTTAGGGGGTACATTGAGCATTTTTCATGATTTAGGGGGGTCTCCAAGGCAGGAAAAGCCCGCGAAAAGCCCGCGAAAGGGGGGTTCGGAAATGTTGGCAGTCCTCAGATAGGGGGTGCTTTCAAAAAGAGGGAACAAGCATATGCGTACCCTAAATAACACTGAGTGGGGGGGGGGGGGGGCGGGCAGCTACGAGGTTGCGGCTTGGGCTAATAACCTCGTCTCATTTGCCAGTATAAATATCAAACGTAATCCGATAGCGCATTTTCCTTTCATTTTTATCCGTCCTCAAATGAAATTCGGCCACCCAATTCCGGCCGGCATCTTATTCCGGTCTCGAGTACTCTCTCGAGTTCCTCTAATTGGAGTCGTCGTGGTGCTCTGACTGCAGCTAGAGCGGTGGTATCACCCGAGGCGCTAGCTGACATCGCGATGCTAGGCAACCCCGCCAAAGAACCTCGATTTTCATCCTATAACCGAAACTGATGACAGTCATCTTGACGTTTCAGGGAAAAATAATCTCACGCTATATCATTTCTCTACATCTATACCAACGTAATGGTATTTACGGTTCGCGGGAAATCAATTTTGAATTATTTATCTTTAGTAGATAGATGCGTGGTACGTGAGGCGGAAGAAACTGATGGAGACAGCGGATTACAGATATTTTTGAAAACTGATACTAGCGATCACAATGAAAGATATGAAACTGCATTCTCCGTTGGTATTGAGGAAGTTTGATTAAAATATTATAATTAAGAAAATAATGTAATCTACGAGACATGGGTCGACATTATCTCGGGGAATTGTGTAGGTAAAATTAGGCCGATTGATAGTACAAAATGGAGAAGCAAGAGTATCTTTGATATATTTCCATAATTGCAAAATAGTCTTTTAAATCATTGTGATTGTGACAGTACTGAACAAAACATCATGTTACTGGTAGCAAATTATTATTTACTTAAAATACAAATCCATACTTACCTAAACACCTATAACAGCATGCTGATTCACTCTTTTATCAGCTTACAATATTCGACACATAACAAACGCATTTCTTCACGCCATGAGATAGATAGAATTGTATTCGGACGGATTGATAGGCAGATAGTTAGAAAGTTAAAGAGATAGACAGGAAGTGGTTTAGGTGACGATGAAAGAGGCAGGGGATCGATATCTATATCTGTTACATTTTGTAGCTCTGATCAATATGATCCACAGCGCTTGTTTACACGAAGCTCGGTGCACGCACGATGCGTGAGCGCCGACCGAGGCGCCGAAATTAGCGCGGTTAATTAGGCTCGTTCAATGAAGTTCAGTAGAAAAATCAAATTGCTTTCAGAATTCCAGGCGGAAAATTGAATTTCGTTGTCTCTCTCTGAGGAAGAAATTTCCAGAGAAGAAATACATTAGATTAGATGAGTGTATACTGTTACCTTCCGCGCTTAAAAAGGATATTTCGTTAAAATTAACGTTGTCGATGCAATTTTGTGAAGTAATGGAATTTAGGACTGTTCACTTAAAAGCTCATGGATATTTGAATGGACGAAGAATTTTTCTAAGTTATTCCATTTCGACAATCTTAATAAATCTTTGTTACATTATTCGATTTTCAAAAAGGTTGAACGAAAGTTCAAATAGCCATGAAAACCTCGTATAATGCATAGTGCATGGAGGGAAATATACAACCTTACACCAAGGAGGTGATAGAGAAGGAGTGGAAACTGTTGTAATGTATTCAAACGCATGCGTGATTTATAAAGAGCAACAATGGCATTGGAGTTCCATGCTCCGAGCCGCTCTTCCACTGCGGGGAATTTAGGAGGCCAGGCTCCAGTTTCATATTTATTACAAAATGTTAAATTACCGGCAATATTTCAGGGTAAATTATAAACTTTATATGGGGATTGTATTGGGAAAAGTGCATCAAACAATTTTCAAAATTTAGTACTCCGCCCTTCCTACGATTTGTGTGCCAGAGTTGGTAAAATAAAAATTAGATCCCGACATGTTTTAATGTCCCGTTATTTAATCCATCGTTTACAATCTTCGATAACTTTAAGTTTGCTAATGCGTGTTTTCGCGTGTTTTTTTTATTTTTGCAGTTGGAATTAAAGAGAAGGTTGAGTTCTGGGAAGGGGTGAAAAATAATTTGTGAGCGTTATCATTCTTATTATGCAAGTGTGGAAGAACATCAGATAAGACATGTTCCCTAAAAAGCATGGCTCTTCGAATGCCTTCATATTCTAAATATGTCATGTAACATCGTAAAACTCCGGGGTAGGATTTTTACGCCACGTGTTCGTGTAGTCCCATATACATATTTCTGTATACAGTGTTTGTAACTCTACCAAGACCTGGCCAAATTTCTTATCATCTTGATGATTCCAGAACCTTGCAATACACACAATTCTTATGTACTAGATGATCAACCTTTTCTGGTCCATTCCACACCGTTTCTTTCACAATGCAATCGCATGACCAGAACTCAACTTCATCTTTAAGGATGAAATTACACATAGTACATTATATTCGTATTTCTTTTATTGCTGAAAATACACGAACACCATATAACGTTGTCACCATTATCTCCCGTTCTATTCCAATGTTTCCAGAGACCGCTGCCTACACTTCCGGTGCCTCCGCTCGGCCAGAGTCTGGAGAGGTACCTCAAGTCCCTGAGTCCTCTGGTCTCCAAGGAACAGTATGAGAGAACCCAAGCCCTGGTCCAGGAGTTCCTCAAGCCGGGAGGAGAAGGGGAGACATTGCAACAGAAGATAGTCGAAATGAGGGAAACCAAAGTGAACTGGGTAGGAACCTCGATCCGTTTGTGGTGTCCGTCCTGTACAAAGCTAGTGCTTTTCAAGTAGATAACCCCCAAACCAAACACAAACACACACACACACACACACACACACAAACATTTTTTTTTTAATTTGATATTAGGAAGGAGGAACGGAAATGATTCATTTTTTCCCAGGCTCCATTCAATTATTCCTTTAAAATAAAAAATAAATCGATTTGAGACATTTTTATACTTATTCTTATAAACTTCATGACAGCCATCCAATGCCATAAATCCCGATTTAAAACATCGATACTTTCTATTATTTCCATTGCATTCAATGCTTGCCATAGGAATAGAGCTTTATATCATTCATATCCATGTATCATATTAAAATTCTACTTCGTTCTATCGCAATGGATGATTGTTTACAACGTTTCTTACCACAGACATACGACTATTGGCTAGATGATATGTACCTCAAGGTTCGGTCCGCCTTGCCCATCAACAGCAACCCTGGTATGGTCTTTCCCAAGCAATATTTCAGAGACGAAGGTCAAAGGTTACGATTTGCTGCAAAACTGATATCCGGTATTCTGGACTACAAGGTTGTTATTGATGCGTAAGTATAATCCATCTAAAAATGACTTTTCCTCGTGTTCTCTTAGTGTCTAACCGACAAGTTACTGTGTATTAAATGGTGTGGGCCGTCAGTTTCTATGTGCAGAAGGCCATATTTCGCTGACACTAGACTTGGTGGAAATACAATTAATGTGTTTACAAGTCTAAACGCAGCGAACCCGTAGGTCCATCAAGAAATACCCTTTCGTCTCTCGGAGAGTCTTCGGGTGAGGGAAAAGTGAGATAATGGCTTTACCTTGTGGAGGAATGGATGAGGAGTACAAAGGTCATAAAACTGAAGGCTATTTCTGGAGAATGACAACGCCTGTTATAAAGTACACACCTGAGCGGTGTCAAATTCCCCATGAGAGCTGACTACTATGTGTCTTTAAGATGTCAATTAGCAACAAAGAAGTCCTGAACAGAGCAAACAAAGAGAGAGAGAGAGAGAGAGAGAGAGAGAGAGAGATAACTAGTGTATGTTGGTAGTGTGATGAAAGGAGGAGGATTATTATTATAAAAAAGGGTCAACCTTTATATAAGGATTATTTTTTTTCCTTTCAGGTTGCAACCTATTCAGTTTATTTTATGTCCAAATGTAAAATATTTTCCTAATGTGTATTTTATGTTATATAGCTGGTTGTTATATGAAATGTTGTCTTTTTGACTGAATGAAATAAAATTGAACTGAATTTTTTTTGAATTGAATTGAATTGAATTGAATTGCAGAAGATCTTGCTGGAAGGAATGGTAGATCTAGGGTAAACGAGAAAGGGGTAGACAGCGAATCACTTGGTTTGATGATGTCAAGAAATGAACTGGTGCATAGCCGCTAACCCCTTTCGAAGGAACGGCACTATATGATGATGAAGATTGGGAATCGATTGGGAATGTATGGTTTCTAATGAACGGTTACCATTCAAGTTTATTAAGCAAATTTGTTATTGGACCGTCCTGCACCAACCTCCCTATCATTCCTCTTGCGCGTTAAGGATTCATCGGATTAGAATGTTACCCCATGACTTCCAAACACTGGACATACCTGTAAACGGGAGTATCCCGTTGGAAGCTTTCTGCAGATACCATGTCTCAAAACCTTCCAGGAATTCTTCCAGTTAATTGAGGGTCCGCGAAACATAAATCATTACTAACGAAAGTCAAATCATCGACCCTACCGTGGGGTCCATGGTCAAATCGATCGAAGAATCGTTTTCATGTATCAAAAAGTCCTGATAGCGTTTGGGAGTAATTTAGTAATTATGATATTTTAACCTATAGAGATAAACAACAAACACAAACGAAGGCATAACAGGTAAAAATAATGACACTGACCAAATATTCCTATTACCTTCTTCTTTTTCTTCTTGTTATCGAATCACTACACAAGTCCCATCCAGTGGTCCACATAGGCTTTGACACGGCAATTCACGGCTTCCAGGTCATCTTGGGTGCATGGCACTTGCAGGAGTGGATAGACTAGCAGGTCTTCCATTGTCTGTTCCTGGCTGCATTCACATGCTGTTTGTTCGTCTCCTTGATCCCATCTCTGCATTAGGACTCCAGAATTGCATTATTTTTTAACATAATATTCTAAGACGCTTTCACCTTTATCTTTTCATATATTTTCTTAGGCGAGCGTTACCCGTCGACCGGGCCAGGCACAACAAGCAGGGGCAACCGCTTTGTATGGAACAGTACTACCGACTCTTCTCATCCTACCGGGTACCCGGTCTACTCAAAGATGAATTAGTCTCACCGGGTAGTAGTCTCATGCCCGAACCGGAACACATCATTGTCGTATGTCAAAACCAGGTAGGCCCATTTATATAGCAGGGATTGTCAGACCAATTTTTTTTTAAAGTGACTCGGTAACATGTTTGAAGGGTGATGAAAAAATAGCGTAATATTTGTATAAAATGTTACTTATTACATTCCTTCTACATTTAACCCTTTGACATGCAAAGAATCCTGAAAAATTCTCAAACCAAAAGATATATCTATGGTTTTCTTTAAAGGCATCACTGTGCAACACCCTCTAACAGTGATCAAAAATAAATTCTCCCAACCATTTTTTTTATTTTCCCAACCGTTTTTCCATGAAAAAAAAGGCTATTAAAAATCTGTCAACACTTAAATGTCTGGAATGGTATATAGAGCCAATTTATTGCTTTGTGACGATTTACAGTCACCTACAATGTAATGAAATTGTAATAATATAGTTGGAAAAATTAAGGAATCGATCAGATCAGTTTTTCCTAATTTGTATCATTAATAATGGTCCATTTTCAGCCAAATTTTCGGATTATCTTTAATTGTACATCTAGCATTGAAGTCACTACCTTAGCACCACTTCCTCTCATCTGAACAATGTCACCGAGTCCCTTTAAAGTATTCTAAAAAAAAAACTCGGGTACCGGGGCATATGTCTCCTAACTCCCCCCCCCCCCCCCCCCCTCTTCCCCCGAAGGTGAATGCCACTGTAATCGTTAATTGTGATGTAGTTTAGGATGCAGCTGTTGGAGTGGCGTACTGGTCTTATCATTATGATAAAATGAGATGGAGCTAGGGAACAGGGTTTGGAATGGAGTCATGTGACCTTCTTTTCCACGTTTTCTTTTCCTATTTATTTCATGCTTGCCCCCCCCCCCCTCTGCCTACTTTTTATCAATATTGTAATTATGACTAATGGAAGTATATTGCTATAGAACCACTAGGACTTCCCTCCCCCACCCCCCCCCGTAAAAAGTGCATTGTATTATAATTATGAATGACATAGTACATGATCCTAAAGGTCTTCTTAACTTTGCATGGGTAATTTCCCAAGGAAGGAAATTTTATCCCGAAATGAAAACGCATATCGTTACTATTCTAGTTAAGTGATAGGGGCTTTTATCGTTTTCTTGAGCTCATTAGTTCATTCCAGATATTTCGTTACGTTCAGGATTCCAGATTTAAATGTCATTTTTCTGCAGTTCACAAATATAGAAATGTAATTCTATTTTGAAAGTAGATCCATGTATCCATCCAAAAGAAAATTGTTTTTACGAATGGTTTTCTCCAATATTTATTAAATTTTCTCATTTTTCTGCAGTTCTTTATCTTAGACGTCATAATCAACTTCAAACGACTGAGCGACCAAGACCTGGTCAGTCAACTCAAGAGAATACTAGATGCTGCCAAAGAAAACCCCGACTCCGTCCCGTTGGGTCTCCTTACCACCGCCGATAGACCAACATGGGCTAGTTCTAGGGCTAGATTAATAGAAGGTTAGTTAATCATCTCTTTTCCTACTTTGCGTAATTTCTTGACGCATTTTAAATAGAGTCGATTAAGGAGCCTATTCGGAAAAGTTGATTATGTATTACATAAGTATTAGTGTATACTATGAGGTTTGGGAATCATCAAATAGAAATGGATTGACTAGATCTTGCTCGTACAATATAGGCATACGGGTACATGGGAAGGAATACGCATGTGGGATGGAACTTTTTTAAAGTTTAAAATAACAAAAATGTTAGCCATTAATAATTCAGATGTGAGGACATTTTAAGAGCAATCGCTTCTTTAAAGAAAGTCTGCCATATTTGGCATTAACCTGATCGCAACAACTTTCGGAAAATCAACCTTTAGAAGGCAATTATTATGGCCTTGTACGTCATATTTTGAGATGTACGAACATTATAAAGACATATTACGTAATACGAACAGGATTTCTATGGCATATATATATATACAGTAGGGTATTGAAATGCCCGTGAGTTGATTCTTCGAAAATAGTTGCGATTATGCTCCTAAAAGATAAAATAAGTTGCGGATATGATGTCATCTTAAAACCCCTCTGCACTAGTTTGGCCAGGAGGGATTAGACCTCCCTGCATGGTCACTGACAGGTGGTTATCTCATCATATCAGCTCTCAATTAACATTATAAAAAAGGGACCAGGGGACCAATGGTGACCGATTAGGCATTGTTTAAGTAGTGCAGTGGGACTTTAAACTATACTCCACCTTCTCTACAATTTCAGATTCAACGAATCGCGACTCACTGGACATGATAGAGCGATGTATCTTCGTTCTCTGCCTTGACGAGCGCATGGACTACCCTCCTCCCGAGGTCGGCAAGCCCATCGACTCGGACGACGAGCCGCTCGGTCTCCATATGCTGCACGGGGGAGGAGTCGAGAACAACACGGGCAACAGGTGGTTCGATAAAACCATGCAGGTTAGTGTCGAGTTTATCAATTCATCATGTTCAGTTTCAGTTTTTCAGTTTAGTTTCTTTTATTTCACATGAAAAAAATACAATACATTAACAAAACATAGCATATTTACAAAGTTGATATTCGTGAACAATAAAGACATCTACACAACATAAGTTTGTGTGGCATTTACACTAAATAATTTCGAAATTACATGTGAAAAAAGGAAGTTAAGAAAAAGCATATTGTAGAATTTAAGTTCCTCAAAATAATTTTGACACAGTGTCATTCATAATAAGTATACAAATTAAAAAGCAAAGTATACAGACAAAAACAATGAAAGGATATGGATGATGGATGTAAGAAAGAAGAGAAACAGGAAGAGAAGGTAAAGCATGGGGGTCAGAAGAAGAATGGGAAGAGAGAAAAGGAAGTTTAGAATGGAATGTGCAAGGTCGGGAGTCACAGTCTGGAAAAAATAGTACAGTTGTGTATTACACGTACGAATTCAATTATAACAATTTGATATTCTACATAAAGTCGAAGGTACTGTAATTCCTAAGGTTGAGGGAACACATTATTATGCTCCAAAACTTCAGATACTTCTAATAAATCATGAGATGCCTCTTTCTTCACAAAGTAGGATATGTAAGTTATGGTTTTAGTGATTTTTCATGGCGCACAAGAAAAGACACAAAATCGTGGCAGACACTTGCACTTGATATGGTACAACCACCCCCCCCCCCCACCCCCTCCAAATACTTTGGGACGCATCCTCCCATCGACGTATCCTAAGGTAGTATCAAAATGATACACTGAACGTTCAACAATTACAAATGAATGTTTAATATCCTTAACATGATTTAAGTGGTAATTGGTTATTTGATTGAAATTGGTAATTGATTGGTGGCAACGATTTTTAAAAATATTTTTAAATCTATTTAGCAGTCCCAATCAGACATTCGGAATATTGGCGCTCTACAATTTACCGGACCGGATGGGATTAATGGTTGGGTTATCGGTGGTAATTCAGACAAAACTTTGTATCTCTTTATCCGTAGTTCATCATCGGTACAGACGGCCAATCCGGTCTCAACTACGAGCATTCCCCGTCAGAAGGAGTAGCGGTCGTGCAGCTGGTCGAACATCTACTCAAATACATGTACGTCGTTTATATATTCTTAAACTTAAACATATCCTGCATGGTTGCTAAAAGTCACATTTTGTTCAGGTCCGTCACCTGCCTTATAGGTTTGCATGTCAATGAAAAGTGGATGCGAGAGATTCTTTTATTTTTCTCTCTGACCATTTCAGTCTCTGTATTTCATGTAAATATAATTCGGCCTAATTAACACCACATTTAAAGAACAAAAGATCAAACTTTTTTTTTTTTTTTTTTAGATATTGAAGAAAAAATTATTCTTATGAACCATCAAAAAATAACTTTGAAAATTCTAAAAGAAAGTATAATAAATATTGTCTATTCCTCATAGTATATTTCTTGTCCATGGATTGTTCAAGATCGATTTACGTGATCAAATATATGTATCCTAGATGAGCCACTCCTGCAATGTTTATAACCCCTGTGACGTTAGGGTAATATAAGCCTTTCTATTTTTCTTGCCCGATTGCTGAGGTCAGTTTATGCGCGTCCATCAAAATCAGCCGCATTTGCGGACAGTCAAGTTACGCGCTTGGGCTATCCCAGGATTGCAGTTCTATAACAATCATCTGATATCTTATCTTCCCGCAGTGACTCTGAAACACACAAACGAAAACTGACGAGAGCACAGTCAATATGTGAGCTTCCTAATCCACGAAAACTCAACTGGAAAATCTCACCAATCCTACTCCAAGACATCGAAATAGCCAAAGCTCAGATCACATAGTAAGTCATTATTGTTCTCGGGGTGTCGATACTCCCTTAAACCTTTATGTACCATAAAAAACGGTCTCCCTCTGCCGCAAGATATATCTAATGGGAGAAATATACCAAGGGATCTGAGGTAACCTAGAGTTCTCCCTGTAAAAGTGTTTATGTCCACCCCACCCCTTCCAATATGCTTACAACCTAATCGTGAATACTTTAGGTACACCAGGAGAAAGGGTGATGTTTTATGCTCCTTCAAACTCTAGTGACACTAGGTATCTTATAATGTGATTAACCTTTTTTGTCCCATCTTTTAAATGAAGTCCTGTATCTTCTCCTGGTCAAATGTTTCATCACTGTAAATATTGTTTTTTAATGTCATAATATACTATTTTTCAATGATTGTCATTAACTGCTTTCCTCCAATTTTATTCTCAACTACATTAGTGCTGTCAGTGATGCTGATGTCAAGCTACTACGTTTCACTCAGTTCGGTAAAAACTTCCCCAAATCTCAGAACATAAGTCCCGATGCCTTCGTACAGCTAGCACTGCAGCTAACATACTACAGGTATGAACACAAAACTCGCTCAATTTCCTTTTGAGTAATGTATTTGAACCGTATCCGGACACCTACCCCCTGGACATCCATCCCGGATAACCACCCTCTAGGACGACTACTCCCCAGACAACTACCCCATAGGGCAACCACCCTCTAGGACGACTTACCCCTAGACAACTACCCCCGGACAACTATCACCCAGACAACTACCCCCTAGGACAACTACCCCCTAGAACAACTCCCCCCGAACAACTACCCCCTAGACAACTACCCCCATACAACTACCTCCTAGGATAGTTGTCCGGTGGGTAGTTGTCCTAGAGGATGCTTGTCGAAGGGGATAGTTGTCTGGGGTCGATGTCCGGGGTGCATGTTCAGGGGGTAGTTGTCCTAAGGGGTATTTGTCGAGGGATGGATGTCCAGGGGGTAGGTGTCCTAGAACCTATTTGAACAGCTCCGGTATAATATCCCAGTCACTCAAACGAGACCGACATCAGGCCAACAGACTGACCAAACAAAAGATACTTCTCCCCGCATGGCCAGGAGTCTGCCAGTTTGAAATTGATGTGGAATCGATTAGGAGGTGTGACCCCAATTAATTTTTTATCTTGATATGCCCCAAGTACTTCTTTTGATACGTAAAATATAGTCACGTAACAATGACTACTTACTATTATAATCTACTGAAATCATGACATTTGACTGACTGAGACCAAATTCGTTAACGAATATTTTAGCATTCATTATTGACAATAAGTCTTATGAAACAGGCTAAAAAAAACTGCATAATACTTACTGATGGGTTGATATATTTTCTTTTAAAAAGGTGTGACTCTCAAAAGAAACTTTCATTATAAAATCCTGCTTATTTTTTTCTTTAAGAATATACGGGCGTTTGACGAGTACATACGAGAGCGGTTCTACACGTCGGTTTCAAGAAGGCCGAGTCGACAATATCCGGGCCGCTTCACCGGAAGCTCTAGAGTTCGTACGGTCAATCAAAGGAGAACGAGAGGCCAGTGTAAGTGTAATGTTATTTCTTTCTATTCCACAGTTTAGAAATCAAGCCATCTGATTGGTCGAAATTGGAGTCATGATTTTAGCCATTCCCGTAAAATGCCAAAACCGGTCAATAGGCTTTTCAAAAAAGCCCTAGGGCACTTTTCAAAAGACTATTGACCGGTTTTGGCAATTTACGTATATGCGTGCAATCTCAATGGGAAGGATTTTAGCAGACAAACTCGAGTGGTGCGCGATCAGACACCCTATTAAGACTAGGTCTAGATAGCGTAAACAAACTTGAAACCATGATTGGTCGCACATCGCACATGTACTCTATGACTCTTTTCGGTATATACAAGTTATAATGACTGCTTTATTATTCGAGGCATAGTTGTTTTTTATAGGCTCTCGGGGAGGTAACATGATCATAGCATAGTAGCATACACATGCTTAAGCAATCCCGCAAAACACACATTGGCAAATTACTATCCAATAAAATCTGAGAATGTATACTATTATTTTTAAATAATTTTTAAAATAATTCCATAAATTGGGGTAAAACTAAAATATTCCACCTTTATGAGCGACAGTGTATTTATCGGCCAAGGTTTAAAGGTGACTATGCCGTAGTATGTCATTGAAGCTGTGAGTATCTTACATACAGAATAGTAAGGAAGCTGCTAACATTGAAAGTTCCAAGAAAACCATGAAAAGTCCATTGCTCAGAAAGCCCTCAGAGATGTAAGAACTATATTCTAGTTCAATTGTTATATGGCTTCAATGGCTCAATTACTTATTTTTCTCAATCATAAAAAAACAAAAGCAGTTTTTATATAACGTGTATTGAATAACGATGTACCCACGTGTAATTAAAGAAAACTGGAAACTAAACTATTTTTATTTAGTTAATTTTTTTGTTTTCCCGGCATCGATGTGGCTCACTTCGACCCTTACTGCTATTTTTATCTCACCATATCATATTATATAATCCTTTTATTTTCGACGGTCGACGTCGTGGGCGTATGTTTTCTTCTGCGTAAGGTTTAAAGAAGATTATCATTTTATTTGTTTCTACTTTTAGATAGAGGAGAAGAAGTTCTTGATGAGGGAAGCCATCAAAGCTCAAACAGAAACATGCTTACAGGTATAATATTGAAGACGACTCTTTTTTTTTTATAATGCATTTCTCAAAGTTGGCCATCGTTTCACGAAAGAGTCATAAGCATGATAATTTCAAGTTTGCCGAAGTCCCATCGAAACGCGTATGTTATAATTAACTTGTGTATCAACGGGATATCGGAAAACGTGTACATATGACGGTTCCCTGAAACGATGACATAGGCTTTGATAGTGAACACGTTCAAGCTAATTTCCCGTACCTTTAACCGACTTCGTCCCAAATTATTGTATCCAGTTAGAAGCCCATCAATGAGCTTAGATAATGACCAAATATAAAGTGATATAACACATTCAATGTAGATTTATGTGTAGAAGTACACAAACTTGGTATACGTTTATGGTACATCATAATTATGACTGTCAATTCAGACTTGCCCCGAAATAGTTATTATAATGATCGTTTAGAACTTCTGAAAGAAATGGTTAAGGGCCTACATTTTTTAGTTTTGAAAGAGTAAGACGAATTTAATACATATGTAGAGCTTTGCTATTACCATTTATTTCACCGTTGATTATGTCCTTTAATAATTGGTAAACGTTTAACATGATCAGAGGAAATTTATTTTATAGATGTGCTGCAGTCTAGTGGATATGTCTCTGGACTGTGAACCACAAGGTACGGGGTTCGAATCACCAACGCAGCACTAACATCCTTTGGTATAGCATTAATTTACATTTGCCACTCTCGACCAAGGTGTAGTAAAGTGGGTACGTGGTAAAACTTCTTCTTCCCAAGTCCTGAGTGACATGGTCACCGGAGTCACACCTGGGATATAATAATGCAAAATACTATTGAAGCGCATAGAGACGTTATACCATGTTATGAATATAAAATAATAGATTTCTGTTTTATTATGTTGTTGAAACGGTAGACGATCACGGGACAGGGGTTTGACTGCCACCTGCTCTGTCTGAGGGAGGTCAGCAAGGAGATAGGGATGCCACTACCAGCCATCTTCGCTGATGAGGCTTTCGAGATCAGTAACAGGTTCTGTCTCTCAACCAGTCAGGTGAGAATCCGCATCATGTCTTATTTCAGCATCCACATTGACCAGTTACCATGGAAACAAATTGATGTTCTGTACAACTCTCAAACTTTCTCACTGATGTGTACATCATCTGAAAGCCAATTTTAGCACACATGTTTCTAATATTCAACTGTTGCCTCCTGCTTTTATATAGTCTTACCATTTATGCCCCCTTGGGTGATAGATACTGTATTGCATCAAGATAGACATACAGCATACACTGCATTTACATGCAACTTATATCTTGCTATTGTTTGTGGTATTGTAACAGGTGGTCAACTTTGGAAAAGTTACATGCCACTTTCTCAAGTTAGCTCATTGATGACTGACAGATGATGTCCCTAGGGGAATGACGTCTGGAGGTTTTTGGGTGGAGCTTAGCAAGTTTGAAGAAAAAAATATTTCAATAAATATTTAAAAATCTATGAAACAAATTCAGAAGTTTACGTATCAAAATATGAGATGTATGCAGGACTGCACACCAACAGGAATACACTTGTATTTCGATGTCATGGGCCTTTTAAAATTCTCACTGCGCTTGACGTCATCTATGTTGTTGTTGTTTTAGTCTTAAGGGCGTGTGTCATTCAATTTTGAATATTTACGCCGAATTCAAGTTTTATTAATAATTTTAAATCTCATCCCTCCTAGTCTGTGCGCAAGGCAAAAAGATTATGAAGGAAAAACTTGTGCTCGAGCTACGAGCCAAAATGCTTGAACAGGAACGTCTATGGTCGGCTTCTGTCTCTAAAGAGAGGAGCCGACCCTACCCAAATCAGAGGCTAACGAAAGAGATATAATTTTTCGGTCTAGGTCAGTACTTACCTATAACTACAAAAATGATATCCCTTCTTTTCTTCCTCCTCGTGTAGGTTCTGACCAAACTGGACACGTTTATGTGCTACGGACCTGTGGTCCCGGACGGTTACGGTGCATCGTATAACCCCCATGAGGACTACATTCTGTTTGCTATAGCGTCTTTCAAGTCCTGCCCTTCGACCGACTCACATGTCTTCCGCGCAAAGCTCTACCAAACGCTCATCGACATGCACGAGCTCTGCACGGGGACCAAGCCAAACACCAACAACAACTCGAACGGCTACACGCAAGGGTAGACCAGTTAAATCAGTTCCAGGAACTAGTGTAGATCTGAGCGTGTTGATGTCGTGTTAACCCCGTTGCAGACAAGGCGTTATTTATCTGACGTAAAACGCGTCTGTGACTGATAGGCTCTTTGTTCAAAGCGTCATGAAAGAGTGATATATCGTTCAAATAGTGCTTGCAAAATGAACAGTTCTATCAATACTTTCAGTGACTGGGATGTGGTTTAATTGCCTTTACAGTCTATATGAGAGTAGGTAATAATGCAGTAGAACTGACGCCTCGTGTGCGATGGGAAATACAGAGGGATGATGAATACATCGACCATACCCCAAATGACTTGAGATAACACAGCAAATCTGTCATAAAGACCATTGGGGGAGATTGGACTAGAGCTAGAACACGTGCAGTGATAGACCAAGACTGGAACTAAGACAAGATAGGATCAACTTACGTACTAAATAGGTACCGAAATCAAAGTAAATGTGTTTTGTAATTGAGGCAACGTTGTGATTAATGAGGGGCATTGCGTGTTCCTGTCCTAACTTAAAACCGGTGCATAATGATAGATTATGCAGGTACATGACTTGTATACCTCACCATTTAAGACTAAGTTCTGTATGTAATAATGGTGTTTACATCAAGCTGCCTAAGGATGGACAATTTAAGCATCAGAAATAAAACAGAAAAAACGTTTTATTTTTAAATCGCAATTATCATTTGTTGAGCCATAAGTTCCAGTTCATGCGCATTTTAAAAAAACCTTGTGGACTTTTCGACCTATTGGATGACTCCGAATAAAACAACCATCGATGTTACTATAGCAACCATTTATTCAAAACAATTGTTCTATGCACTCAAAAGATCACTTTTAATAGATATGCAAAACTTAAACAACGTAGTGAAAGTACTATAGCTCGTACGCATTGATTTTTGTTGCGTTTAATTCCGAATTATGTGTCAAAATTCTGAACCTAAAATTTTGTCCACGTCGCTTTTTTGAAATGCTATGAATCTAAGTCAAATTGTCACGTTTATTGTTACAGTCCAACTATTTTCAGTATTTACTATGACTTTAAGGGGATTTCCCGTGAGTTTTTCAGGTTGAGGACGGTAGGGGTGGTCAAATTGTGACGACCAGAAAGCAAGTTTTGTTGATACACGAAAAGAAAAATAACTGAAAGAGAGTATTTTGCAGACAATGGTTACAAAATGCTGGAAATCACAACAATGCCTACAATGATAAATGTAGAAAATATAAATATGTAATACATTGTAGACTAAACTAACTTTCATTAGTCATTATATTTATGGAACGTCAAATGAATAAATTCGTTAGACTTTTAATTGTCTGTTTTATAAAATAAATCAATATTACCAATTAAATTAGTCAGAAAATGATCTTTAGGAACCACACGCATTCACTGAATCTGTCACTGCATGGTATAAGTTTGAAACTGACTCATGCATCTTAACTCAATTGTCTGTTTCTCGTTATTTTGAAGATGAAGGAGTCCGAAGAGCACTCAGGCCTTTGTATCCAACATTCTAGTATAACATCCTTCCAAAGTAACACAAGAGAGATGGAAATAGTAAAATACAAGTCATATTTTTCTAGCGCGCGGTTTCATTGTAATTATTATTACCCCGGTCATTGGATTCAATTGCTAATCCGCACATGATATTGCACGCTCCACTCAAACGGCAATTCTCACAACTAATTTCACTTTTATCAAAACCAAAATTTCTCTTTCATCATGTTAATCGATGGTAATTTTATTGGTATTCATTTGTGCTGGCTTGTTTGATTTTAATGTGTGATCTACCACCTTTTAACTCGATCTAGATGAAAGAAGTATATATAATGATCATCATTATGAATGTTGATCTATCGTGAAAGGCCGTCCAATATGTACAGTTCCTCTCAAAAAGAAAAAAAACGAAACAAAATATTTTTCATCTATTTTTCTCTGTTCTCTAGCCAGAAATATAGTCTTTAGATTTGTTTCTAGGTTCTTGATCAAAGCTGTAAAATTATGCCTTAGAGTGATCCTTATTTCTGTTTATTTCCATCGTCTGTTTGAAAAGTTTATTAGTAAATTATTATATTCACAAGATATACTTGTGACAGTATAATAGTGAATACAGAATCAGTTGTATTATAAGCGAAATATATTTATCAACCGAAAGTACCCTGGAACCCTGTGGACACAAACAAAACACGCATACGAGTAAGCGACTGTAGATAGGAATACATGTAGTTAACTAGCCAGTAATTCCTTGACAGTAAATGTGGGAAAGAAAAATTCTATAGATTCAATGTAAATTACTATTCAAAATCACTATTTCCTATAATGGATGGGTATTAGTTTTTGCTAAAATTTGAATTATATATTTTAGTATATTATGTACAATATGGGAAATTGTGTTATCAAAATTAATCAGATTTTGGCAGATTCTCATTTGAGTTCTGCGTCAATGGTTAACATTACAGGTTATATTGTTTGAATTTATATTTCCTAGAATTATTGTAGCGGTACTGTTAATGATTAGTCACGTGCTAATCTTTAACACGAATTATTATGTAAGTACTAAAAGCACTTTCTAACAGCTAAGCTGCGTCAGAGTCATTATTCCCCTTTTCATCAGCAAGGCGCTTGCCTCTTATGTTATTTTTCTGTTTTGGGGGTAAAGCGATATGAAACATAACAGTGATGCTAATGGTATAAGATAGGCAAAAATCCATGTTTAGATTATGTTGTGTTTATCGCGATAGTAGAGACTTCCTAGAAATCACCTCAATGGAAAGTCTGTCCCCTATTGTAGTGCATATTGAAATGATGTTCGGATTACACAATATGTTATTTTCGCTCTCGCACAATAGACCATTTCGTAGTTAGCAAATGGGTAAAATGACCCCAAATATCCACAGATCTTTTACTCATGGAGAAGTCCCACTTTGTGTATTTTAGATTAATCAATGCCAAAGTCATGTATGTGCTTCATGAAAAGCTTTTGTTTGCCCTGTTGTATCATAGAAAGTACCGCAGGTGCACCACATGAATAATGATTACATAACATGAGCACTTATTCAACTCGATGGGTTTTACAATTTATCAGAAATGACCTTTATCTGCCCATGCGCAGATAGTATTTACGAAATGGCTTATTCAATGGATGACGCACAGAGCTGTCGAAATTCTCTTAGGTTGATTTTTTGTTGTTTTTTGTTTGTTTGTTTGGGGGGGGGGTTCCTTGCAATCTCGTTGTTTAGATCATTTAGTGGCATTATGTACGTACCATATGCAGCTTATGTACAGTAACAAATATAAGAAACAAAACAAAACTAAGAGACGTAAGATATATATGTGTGTGTGATATTTGGTAGTGATGGTTGTATTTTCTGTGTTTTGTATTCATTGTGTATTCATTTCATAAAAACGCTGTCCATTCTGGCATTGCTCTTCGTTTCATTTTGAATTAATTTTCTTTGTTTTAGCTTCAGGTGCAATATCAGAAGCTATAGCTGTGTATTATTGTCAAAATTATAATTATGTTAAAATCTTCGGCATGACCTAATTCTACGAAAGTTACACTTTTAAGCACAATTAAAATATATTACATACTGATACAATAAGTGAGGTATAGAAATTAAATCAATTACATTGATGATATGAACCAATTAAATCGGTTACATAATTTGTTATTTATAAATGAAGATTTAGCTTACCTGACGTATACTACATTTCGTCGTAAATTGTATTATTAAGCTATGGAAAAGGAAATAATTATAGCGTTAATTATATGAAATATCATGCTAGTTGTTTTCTATCTATTAGGTTTTTGTTGTTCTTATCTGTTCATGGAACAATTTTAATATTTAATTGTTTTCGTCAGTAATTATATTGAAAGTAAAGTAATTTTGGAAGTAAGCGGAGTTGGGGATCTCCATAAAAACGAACTCTCGCCCAAAAGTATCTTTTTGAATTATGTAATACTCGTTGCACACGATTTACTGACGTGGGACTACGTGAGCTATTGGTCTTATTGACGCAGTCAGATTGACGCAATCGGATTGACGCCTCGTGTGTTTTAGGCCACGGAAAATATGGGGAGTCATCGTATTCTCCTTTAAAACAGATTTCCAGTTGACGGGCGTCGATTTTGTTTTCTTTTTAACGAGAAAGATTGTTACCGCAACTTTATCAATTTTTATTCTGGTTTCTGGTAAAAAGACAAAAGTGCATGTGATATATATTTTAATCCTAGACAGCACCGTCTCTCCACTACTGTAGAGGCAATTCAAAGATATATTTGTTTCCCTTAAGATGACTAACGAGACACTTAGTGTACTCAGTGTATGTAACTAATTCCACCGTCCTGGCATCCTTGTCTAAAGGAAAAAAGACTCGATATTTGTATTTATATGCTCTTCATTCCTTTTATCTTTAATTGTCTTTTGTGCAAGTTGTCCTCTTTAATTATATATTTTATATTCTTCGCCTTTTCAACATTCTCCAAATATTATGATTTTGCTTTACCTATAGTGAAACACATTATCTTTGAATAATTTGAAGGGAGAATACACGTGTAGAAGTTATGTGCTATAGATAATTATTGTAATGTGCTATTCATTTATTTCCATTCTAATTTCGTGTTATGCGAATAATCTAAAAAAATAACTGGCAGTGCTTATGCATTTGATTTTAGTTTTCTTTAAATAGTTTGTATATTTTGTCAAATATCATTGTGAAATTGAATTACACATATTTAGTTTCAAAAATTATATTACATATTACTATCAAGATCATTACCAATGATGATAAATTTCAAATCATTTTCATACGTGATATGATGAAAACAAAAATCTATATGTATTTATCAGAGCTATTTAAAAAAGAAGATTTGATTATGAATGTTTCATCTGTACTTTTATTTATCCAATGTTATGTGGTCTTAGTTGCTGTACCATTGTATATTCTTAACCCGCTTAAGAACTTAAAAGCGTGGTCCATCTTAAAGCAATATATCGAAAACGAATTCGCAGTGAACAATTGAAGTGTTTTTTGTTTTGTTTTAATTATAAACGAGTCTGGTTATTAGTGTGTCGTGTAGTATATGGGTAACTGAAATGAATGACGTTGACATGCAATCATAAATTCATAACATATTAATTAGAGGAATAATGATAAAGAAGATGTCGATGATGAAGATAATAATAATAATATTAGTAATAATAATAATAATAATAACAATGATAATAATATTAACATAAATGATAATAAGAGTGATAATAATGATGATGACGATGATGATGACGATGATGATGATTATCATAATAATAATAATATTGATTATAATATGTAGCCTATATGGATATGAATACGAATATAAATATAGAGAAAAATAATGATAATAATAGTAATGACAATAATAGAACAATTATAGCATTAGTAATAGTAGTAACAAGATTTGATTTCCCCCAAAGATAGTGTCATTAAAGTGCAATCCTACCCTTGTAATATATTCAATTGTATGAAAATGGATAAATAACAGAAACAGAATGGCGAAATTTGAAATGAATCGGACCAATAATAGAAAAGTTATGTAGGTTTGATATATGACGTCACAAAGCCTATGCGAATCTCAAATTGCCAGTTGGTAGTGGATTGTGACGTAGTCGCGGATAAACTACCGTTTTCGGGTTAAAAAAATAAAAAATAAAAAAATTCTGTTTTCTCTGGAGTGTCTTTTCCCTTGGGGCACTACTCAAAATATGTTATGGGTAGCATATTTGTATAGGTCCTCTACTAAAGAGAAAAGACCTTCCAGAGTAATAAACTGTTTCGAAAAATTAAAATTCTAGTCATTTTGCGTGTGTTGGAACAAATTGGAAAGTGTCCTCCAGTACATCACATATACAATAACGATTTAAACCAGTTTGAAGAGCCCATGCCTATAGTAATTACAATTTTCTCAAAAATTCATAACTTTCTCATTTTTTGTCTGTAGTCGGATTTTATTTAAACTTTCACCAGTCTACTTTTCTGATTTGTCTGCTTTTCTCTACAGTAGTTTGTTTTGTTAGGATTGGATTTCCCTTTAGGTGTACTCTTGCTGAGGACTTGAAATTATTAAAGCCTTAGGACCTGATTTAATACCATGGTGCAGAGGGACAAATATGGTTTTTAAAACACCTTATCCAGGAAGATAAGAAGCGAGCAAGGATCGAAAACAAAACCTCTCGAATGGGAGTCAAGAGATTCCAATAATACACTTGAGTTCAGAGTTCAGAATACAGACCTGAGCTGGGAAAATGCCAAATATTTTGCAGAAGACCGCAGAGGGTGGAGAACTTTTGTTGCCGCCCAACGTTCCACATGGAATAGGAGGAACTAAGTCTAAGACCAAGTCTAAGTCAGAATACGGGCCAATGAGCTGATGCGTCAATGTTCCGTTGACGCTGATTTTAACACAAATCCCAAACATCGGGGTTTTTTTAAATCCTAACCATGCCTCAAGAGCTTGTCTGTTCCTATATACTATATATAATTTTTTTTTTTAATTCAAATTTCGATATTAAAATGTTCACTAATGTTGTTTCAACTTTAAAAGACAAACATTTTAAATGAAGATAATTTCAACTGAGAGTTAAATTTATTTCAGCCAAGAATAATACCAAACACAACACTCATGTTACAGCAGTTCTTACTAATGATGATGTGCAGTCACACTTGTCTATTAAGGTTACCCAAGGGGAAAAGAAATTGGGGCCTCTGTAAACAGGTGATCTTTCTAGACTGGTCCTACAACATACAGTTCTCTCTCGAGGGGGACAAAATACATGACCACTGTAGATGGTTACTGACTGATACGTACCTAATCAAATAAAGTAAAAGCAAAATCATTTCCAAAGCTATTTTTCAATGGGGCTGTGATACCTTTATTATTTCATTCAAAGCGTTGAAAATCTGACCACGTAAAAATAGCAATACATAATAAATGGTAATATTTTAACAATGGCATTTCTAAATCTAAAATCGGTGGAATCATTTGAAATGCTGTGAACCCGTTCATTATGACTTAACCTCCACTACACAAATATTCAATTAAAAAAAAAGTTCTGTCACTTTGAATACTTTTAAAAAGAAGAAAAGGGCAAATAGTTTAGAAAAACAACCTAAGGCGAATTGAATGGCCTTGTACTTCCCAATTTGAAATGTGCGAACATGACGGAGACGTATGGCGTAACATGACTTCTACTGTATGTACATACAATAGAGTATTTCAATTGCCCTTGAATTATTTTTTTAAAATTAGTTGCTATATTGTTACGAGTAAATATGTGACATAGGTCTACATGAGAAAGAGAAAAGGGCTGAAAGTATAGAAATGTGTTCTTTGTATTAAAAGTATAACCTGAGAACCAAATTTAGAACTAATTACGCAATAGACCAGTTCACGGTTAGCAAATTACTGCAATGACCCCGAATATCTACAGATCTTAAAAACATGAAGAGGTCCCATTTTGTACATTTTGAAATAATCACTCCTACAGCGATGGAGGTGCGATATAAATAGTCTTTGTTTCCCCTTTTCAAAGAATACTTCCACCTGTGTATCATGGAGTGCACTGAATGTGCATGAATGAATAATGTTACATAATAATAATAATAATAATAATAATATGGATATTTATATAGCGCCGGTATCCGCCAGGCTCTGACGCTCATGGCGCTGTACATACCTGTATTGCTATAAGTTTCATGAGCACGTATCCAGTATTTCGTCTCTGTGTATTTCAAAATTTCGTCCTTGTTTTCACGAAGTGACGGTAGTGAGGAAAATCGTAACGCAAAGTGAATGCAATTTTTTTTCACTACCGTCACTTCGTGAAAACAGCGACGATTTGTTCTGCAATGACCTTTATCTGCTCATGCTCATACTGCAACCGTGAACTGGCTTATTCAATCGTTTGACCATACGTAACGATAAAAGGCCCTGATTTATCCATCTCTTCTCAAACAACGGATTGTTGCTCGTCACCACAATTGTAAATAGAATATAAAATTACAACACTGTAAAAGTGTACAACGGAAAAAATAAAACGTTAAACATCAACCAAAAATATGAGGGCTTTATAAATGTAATGGGAGATATACTTAAGTAAAATTACTAAATTTTTCACTTTTTTAATTAAAGTACTGAAACAGAAATATCAAACAGTTTATTTTAAAAATATACACAAAATAAGTGAAAGTACTCCGTAACTATCATGAATGTAAATATCTCTAATTCTCAATTCCTCTCTGTCCTTTCGCTTTCTTTGTCTTTTTGTCTTTCTGTCTCCCTTCCTTGTTATTCCTTCCATTGTTTTGCATATATTCATATTTAATGTTTTGTTATTTTCATTTACCAGGTGACGTCACTTCAAGCCGTTAATACTTAAGATGACACCTTTTCTATATATACTCTGTCATTATGATACATTTAAAGTTATAAGATTACAAATGTAGAAACATGGATGTATATGGAATAAGTGAACATCAGCTTAAATCAAATGGAGTGTCTAAGTGTTACATGGTACATTAAATGTAATATTTGCATTTAAACAGAATCACAGGTCCTTCAACTATACTTTTTAAGAGAATCAACATAGATAAAGTACCAACAAAACCCCAGAGAAACAAGATAATAAGATAACAAATAACGACCAGAAAATTTCGGAAAACAACGTACAAACAAAAAAAGTATTAAAAAAAGCAACAACCACAACAAAGTAATAAAAACGGATACCGATAATGTTGGTCGGGGCTGCATTCTTCTCTTGGTATAGAGGAGAGAACAGCCATCGCCCGCCCGCAAGCCCGGTCCATGCAAAACCATACAGCGGGGTCCGAATGAAGAGTCATATTTTTCAGAAGGAAGAGAGGTTTTGGTGATCACTGTCTAAATGCAGATCGGCAGATGCAAGTTATGGACGTACTCTTGTTTCCTAAAGATTCGTTGATCCGAACACACAACTAAATAAATCTGAACCAACGAATGCTCTTCATTTACCTCTCCGAACCACCGAATCAATACAATAATTGATATAATTTTGCTATTGAGAACGACGAGCCAGAATAACGCAGGTCTAACGGTATCGAGTGAATAATAATCTATAAGTTTTTGTTACTCATTTCTTTGAGAAAGTTCAAGTTTGATAACTAGCAGTAAGATAATGATAACCACGGTCATAGGTGGAATCATCACAACCACAATCATGAACGATGATTGTCTCCCAGTTAGATTCGACCCTTTGCCACTACTAACATCATTTATAAATGCATTGGAAGAAAGCATGTTTTGCACAGTTGGATTCTCGCTCTCATATTTAACTACCACGACCGTAAGATAAACCTTTGTCCAAACCCCAAATCTTGGCCCCGAGCATGAGTATTTGCCTGATGAATCTTCTGTGACAACAGCTATCGAAAGAAGTCCCTCTTCGTTGACGGATACGGAGTGGAATGGTGAGGAAGAATTTGTTCGAAGAGTCAACTTATCTGGCAAGGTCCAAACAATCTCTGCGCGATTGCATGCATTTAGCGGACATCGAAGTGCAAAAAGAAGATCTCCGACATATGCGATCAATACTTGATTTTCAATTTGGAATGTATTTCTCCCCTGTTTCTCAGTAGTGCAGTTTTTATTTCTGACAACGTCCACAGAACTTTGATTCCTGAACGTCGAAGGAGTTTCACAAATGGGAGGGTTAGAAAATAATGAACAAATCCGTCGCTCAAAAGCAATCAAATGACAGTCACAGTGCCATGGATTACCCGCGAAATCAATTCTAAGACCAATCGACCTGCATGGCACATCCTTGTTACTTATTGAGGATAAGTTGTTGTTGCTTAAGTCAATGTGGTCCAAATGTACACACGAATCGAATGCACTGTGTCTTACTACGGTGATTTCATTATTGCTAAGGAGGAGAATATTCAGTTTAATAAGATGAGAAAAAGTGGTTCCCTCGATCACTTTTATTCTATTCCAAGATAGATCTAAACGTCTGAGAAACGGGAAGGATGATTTCCTCGTAAGTTGTTCTGGGACCAATTGGAACCGATTGTTGGATAAGTTTAAGATTCGCAGAGACCTAGTTCGTATTCGTGGAAAAGCAGAGGCCAATCCGTTTAGTTGAAACTGCGCTCGTACAATATCACTTCGAATGATGTACGAAGAGTTAAGAGACCATCTTCTAACGGCGGGGTTGTTGGTCATGGTCAGGTACTTCAGGTTCGTGAGACGATCAAACAAAAAGAGGTCAGAGGAATTATACATTTGGATGGTGTGAGAAAAGCACAAACATTTTAAAGACGATAAAGCAGAAAAGGAACTGTCCGAAATCTTAATTACAGGATTGCCTGTAATGTCTAGATTTAAGAGCGATGGACAACCTGCAAAGCTATTTTCAGAAAAATACATCAGTTTATTCCATTGGAGGTATATGAAATGTACATTTGTAAGCCCTTGAAGGCTGTATTCGTTCATGGCTGATAAAAGGTTGTGTCTGAAATCAAGAGTTTTCAATTCCGAAGCAAAATGGAACCAGAAAGGCTTGATTTCTGTAAAGGTATTATGAGATATGTCCAAGAATAACAACGATTGGCCTAAATTCCATTCGTTTCCGGCTGAAGATATGCTATTTCCCTTTACAGATAAAATATGGACACCAGAAGGGAGATACCTGAAAACTTCAATTCGATTGCCATCAAGAGTTAGTCTCTCCAGTGAAGATGGGAACGGAGGGCTATCATCAATGTTATTTCCATCCATCAATAGACAGATTAAACTCCGATAATTTTCGAATGTTTGCGTTTCTAAATTGGATATATTGTTATTTTGGAGATTCATGGTGGATATTTGATTTGGTGGTAGAGTAGGGAAGATGTGCAGCCTATTAGCATTCAAGAAAAGAATATCTAATGATGGGATTTCCCCAACGTCGCCTTCACTTATGTTCGTGATCCGGTTTTCACTAAGGTAAAGGTATGTCAGTGCTACCATACTTGTCACAGAAGGGAATCTTGTGAGTGAGTTGCCAGTGAGATACAGTTCTTCAAGTGCAGGATATTGGAACGCTCCATTCTGTATCCATCGTATACGGTTGAAGGACAGATCAAGATACTTGAGACTCGGTAAGGAAGGGAGATATATCAACTCTTGAATGAAATTATTTGCCATTTTGAGCTTAGATAAGTTCGTTAGATTTGTAAGACCTGATTCATTCCAAACCGATATTTGATTTGATTGCACGCATATCACATACACATTATGCATATTTCGAAAGTTGTCTAAACTTGTTATTTTGTTAGACGTCGCGTCGATATATTCGATATTAGTAGAACCAGCAATTCTGATAAGACGGACAGAGTTATTGAAAGCATAGATATGTTGAATATTTGAGCCTTCTCCTAAAAATAGTTCATCAAGATTGTTGTTTCCAACATTGATCACCGACAGAGATGGAAAATTGAACGACACATTTGAGAAAATTAATTTTTGTTTCAAGAAGTTACCATTGATGATAAGACTAAAAAGGTTTGGCAACCGGAGAGAAGAAAGAATACTGATTCTATTTCGTTTAAGATTCAAGGATTCCAATCTGGGTAACTCGGTTAGTGCCCCATCTGCAATTGATGTAATGACATTTACTGCCAGATTTAAGGTTTTCAAAAACGGAATTCTTCTTATCGCGGAGATGGATGAAATGAGGTTGTTATCAAGTTGCAAGTCAACCAAAGACATAAGATTTTGGAAAGCATCTGTTGTTATCAATTTAATGCGATTCCATGATAACTCTATGAACTTCACAAACGAGAGCTGAGATAGAGAGCCTATCGTTTCCAGGCTTCCATAAGACATCATTAAAATTCTAATGATTTCTGGATGATGGAATGAGCATGAATCCATGTAAGATGCTTGAAGCCCTTTGCCAGCCATCCTACCCACCTTGTATGGCACAATCATTTCTTTATTCAAAGGATTCCAGTCAAATCCAAAAGAAACGTATGTCTGTCCGAGTGGAAACTGCATAGGCCATTGGGTAAAATTGTTATGAGATATGTCGACCGAGATGAGCATTGTCAAAAAGTGGAGCGGAGGCAAAGTCGCCAGACGGTTCCCTCCAAGATCAAGTTCTGCTAGTGACACAAGGTTGTCAAAGGCACCGTCCTCAATGACCTTGATGGCGTTGTTCGTAAGCTTCAGTTTCTCCAGGAATCCCTGGCATGGGAATGATCCATTGTGAATCCTTTGCAAGAAATTGTTCGTAATTTCAAAGGAATTGGTTTGGCAAGGAATAATTTCAGGGATCATTGTGTGTTCCACACCGGAACAGTCAACCTTCACTCGAACCGACCCTAGACATTGGCAACCAGTCGGACACGTCGACATCGCGTCGATATGTACCACTACATACCAGAAGAGTAGAAGAAACCTGATCCTAACACCAACGGTTCCACCACGTTGTGGCAAGTTGTTCATTTTCTTAATATCACGTGGGGATTCCATCGTGTCGAAAAAGTCAAACCAACATTAATAATTTTTTTCAAAACGGCCTACAAACGGGTACAAAAGACAAATTAACGTTCATCGCGATGTGGAAAAAGAATGTTCCATCTTTATTTCCACCAAACTCAAATATGCATTAAAATATTTCTTCTTCGCGACGCACACGTACAAACAAATTCGAGGTTGAATTCATCTTTTTTCCGAAAAAGAATAATATATTTGAACCCCCAAAGATAAAGGCTACAGTTCAGTTGGAAACGTGGAGCTAAATGATTTTATAAACTAAACAGCAAGATAGTAACACAGTTCCTGAATATTAGTACAATTTTAGAAGGCACGCTGAGGCTCAAGAAAACGATGCTTCTGATTGGCCTCGTCGTGATATAATGGCATAGTGAAGTGAAATTTCTTAATGAGCACCACTCGTACCAGGAATTTTGCAAGCTTCCCCTTATAACTTATTTGTCTGGCTGTGGTGAAACCATAGACTATCAATGACAAATAGACTTGAATTAGGTAAAATTGCAGCAGATCTGAAATGACGAAGACGGCACCTTCAATCGTGTTGAATTCCCCCCTCATATTTGAATAACGGAATTTCTCTTTATGTTCTCAATATTTAGATAAACAATGAACGTCTGAGAAGGATACTAGCATCACAGAAATAGAACAGATTCCTATAGCGGTACCTGTGAGTTGAACCCGATATGTTACACTAAAGATTATGCGTGAATTTTCTCACAAATAAATTTCCAATAGGGTTTGTACACAAACTTCTCAGCATAATATATATGGAATGAAATTAGAAAATAAATGTCATATCTCTTTTACAGTATATACTCCAGCTACAACATACTACAATTTTGAGTGAAAATCGGCAATGAATGAAAGCGATACCGTTCAATGAACAAATACAAATAAATAAGTGTACACACTCTGATTATCTGGCAAATTCGAACCCGTTATTTAGTCAATTAAAAACATTAAATGTTTATGATATACATACGTTCCAAACTGCCATTTTTATGTATAAGTACACTTCCAAAACTCTTCCAGCATCTTTCTTAAAGGGAAAGTCCACCCTGAAATTAAGTTAGTTTTAATAGGAGTAGAAAAATGAGAGAAACAAGTCAGTGAAAGTTTGAGCAAATTCCGATTAAAAATAAGGAAGTTAGGATTTTTGAAGTTGTGATCAATCAAACACAAATTGGCAACTCTATGACGTATCATGCGAGCTCAACTTCCATTTGCTCAGTACTAAAAAAATCTAAAATTTTCATTTTCCCTCAAGAAAAATTTCAACCATACATGCACCCTAAATATAATAATTGCAAATATGTTTCTATACTCCCCCTGCAAGGAACAAATATATATTCCGTCATCAATAACGAAGAAAACATGATTTTATGGAATATTATGCACAAAGCAAATGAAGGAGAGCTCGTATAATAAGTCACAGAGTTGCCAATTTGTATTTGATTGATCACAACTTCAATAATTCATAACTTTCTTATTTTCATTCAGAATTTGCTCAAACTTTCACTCACCTGATTTTCTTATTATTCTGCCTCTATCGAAACAAAATTATTTTTGGGGTGGACTTTCCCTTTAAACTTTTATTTATTAAATATAAACGTACACTCATATTTAACTCGACATGCTCATGATTACCATCTCAATAATCCCAAACTTAGTTTAGCCCTACGATCAATTAGACACCAGGGACCAGATATTTGGAATAACTTACCAAACCATATTAAACTAGGACCTCCCTTTATTCTTTTAAAGCCTATATGAAAACATATTTGTTAACTCATTATAGTTTACTAGATCTTACATAAAAATTTAAAATTATCTAATTTGTTATGTCTTGTATTGTTTTGTCTTTGTTTGTCAACAGGAATGGACTCTGCATACATTTAATATTACCACCCGTTACTGTAACCAACACACAATTAATATCACGGTATTAGTCTCTTTTTGTTCCACCAAGCTAAATGTTTGCACCTTGCACAAATGCACTTCTCAACACGAAATATTTCATTAAATATGTTTGGTTATTTCCACTCAAAATTATTCAGCCATGCTCACTTTTAATCACTTCACTTATATCTTATTTAACATTGAATACAATGCAGTTGCATGGGTTGTTCTTTTATTTTGTTAACTCGGCAGAGGCCACGGTCATCTTCAAGCATTTACGCTTACGACATGACTGTGGTCTCCTGCTTTTTCCTTTTGTCTGAAACTTTTATTTTAACTAGAAACAAATTTTGTCAAACTTACATGTTATTTCATTATATTTATTTGTATGTTTCTTTGTATTGATATGAAAAAGTGGAAATAAAACAATAAAACAAACAAACAAACAATGTAATCAATTGAAATCTACTTTTCTGACTACGAAGGGCCTTACATTATGATGACGTCATAATAGACAACGTGCATGGTCATACGGGACAAGAAATCGTATTTACAACTCAGATATGAAATAATTTTGAGTGGTTCAAGGTTCAAAGACATACCAATGTCTAACAAATTGTATATTTTCGCTATGAGATTTCCCATTATAGGTACTCTTATTTCCGGAAAGTGCCCCCTTTTTGTTGGTGCCCCTCCCCCCACTTTGGAAGTCGCCTGGCCGCCGTTTTTCAACCATGGTGAGTGCCTCGTTTCAGGTGTAAGAAGTGCACCAGTTTTACCTCCGATAATGACCCTTTGTACTTTGACACGTGCTCCTCTTCCTTTCTAATAAGTGTCTTATCCCTTTCGATAAGAGTCCCCTTTTCCTCTCATTATTAAACGTGGTCCTAATTTAAAGCGACTAAGAGCAATTTACCCCAAAGCTCGCTCGCATTTATAGATGATATAATTATGTTACTTATCAAAGGCCTTTTCAGTCATCTGTTATGAGAATGTGCTATACCCCGAACAGAATTAGGTATTTCTTAATCTTACATTTTTTCCTCGCTCGCTTCTCTGCCTCGCATATGAATATTCAGACCATTTCACCCAACTGCAAAGTATGATGCTTAAGTAATATCTTGTATGATGTATGAAGAGAAACAAATAGTGAAATCATTCCTGATAATGGAATCCCAATTTAGACGTATATACCAATGTTTTTAAAATTCTATATTTTCTCCTTGAGATTTCAATTTGTGGTTGCCCTTTTTTATTTTCTTCGAGAAAGTGCCCTTTTTTTGGTGCCCCCTTCCAACTTTGGAAATCGCTCTGCCGCTCCTGTATGTTAGTTATAATTAACATTATCTGAGAAACAGCAAACCAATTCGATTGTCCTATTTGGGGCTCTCCTTTAGAGGCCGCTGGTTTGATTAGCTGTCAACAATACCTGAACAATCTAATGTTCATAATTGCAAAATATAAACAAAAAGTACCTTATTAACCAGGGGGTTAAAGTGTGTAAAAAAAAATTCATGAAAAAAAAATGGTAACTAAAATCCACATTTCATTCAAAATTACAAATGAAATCTTACATAAACAAACATACAAATAAATTTCCATTTAAAGAAATTCTAAAATAATTAATGAATTCATATTCAATGCATTTTCATAATCATAATACGTGAAACAGAATTCAATATTTGAGAAAAATCTATGAAATGAGTCTATTATAATGTTCATTACATGTGCACTTCCAGTTTTTAAAGATCAAGATAGAAAAGTGGTCATTCGACGCATAATAATTGGTGAAATGGAAACGGTATATATATATATATATATATATGCCCATTATTTGTCCTTATTCACCCCTGAAATTGATTTAAAAAATGAAAACAAACAACATGAATATTTACTAACCTTCCCTCTCTCTACCCCCCCCCCCTCTCTCTCTCTCTCTCTCTGATATCATTCCCATGACAGGAAAATATTTCTCCTCATTAGAAATACAATTTAGCACATTTATCAATTTGAAAGCAAAGTGTCCACAATTCCAAAGCGCTTTAAAAGCCAGTTAGCAGAATACGTTTTCTTTGCAAGCTTTCTTCCATGAGATCCCCGATTATTTTTAACGTTGATACTTTTTTCTTGTTTTGTTTTGCATTTAAATCAATGACTCCTGACAAAAACAAGTCTTAAACATTTATAGATCCGAAGCCATAATTTATCTTGAAATCTAAATGACATATTTGTTAGCACATGTACTAATTGTCAAGCTTTCTCTCTCTCTCTCTCTCTCTCTCTCTCTCTCTCTCTCTATCTCCTCTCTCTATCTCTCTCTCCCTTCCCCCCCCCCTTTCTCTCCCTTCGCTCTCTCTCTCTATATATATATATCTCTCTTCTCCCTCTATTTGCTTACACATATCTCGTCCATGTCCCTCATTCTCTCTAGCTTTGTTCCACGTCTCTCTTTCTCTCTTATAGGACAACATGTGAATAAAAATACATAAATATGTCTAATTAGGTGTAATTGTTTGTGTATGGGGGGGGGGATTCGATAAGCGAAGACAGCGAACAAAGAAATTCATGAGAACAATTGTCCTCGGATAGCATTACATTAGCCTGTTTCTCGAAACCAACGGCAAGACAGTCATAACTTTATCCGCCAATTACAGAGATGTCTCTGATCCTACTACTAATAATGATAATATTCTGCTCTTATATACCGCCCAATACATCGAAACAACGATGTGCCCAAGCGCTTTACAGATTTATTATTACCCCGGTCATCGGATTCAGGCTTACCCATTACCCGCACACAATGTATGCACATTTCCCACTCCCTGGGGAGCATTCCAGCCAGTTGCCATTTTACAAGCGCACACTTGCTCATCCAACCACATGAACTTTCTCATCCTACGGGTACCCATTTTAAACCTGGGTGGAGAGTAGCAAGTTCAGGTAAACATCTTGCCAAAGGATATTAGTGCCATGTCGGATTTCGAACCCTCGACCTTCGCATCTCCAGTCAGGCGCCTTAAACCACTCGACCACGAAACTCCTTAATTATGTATAACTAGTTATACATCTCGTGAAGT